CTGTCTCATGGAACAATTTCTATTTATTTCAGCTGCTTTAACTAAGGCCTCCCACGGAGGGGAAAGGAAAATGGGACATCCTTTTTGCTTCAATATTTTATTTTTAGCAATAAATGCAGGATTTTGCTATAGCTTGGTATAAAAATTTTAGGAAAAAAGCAATACAGCAGTGTTACATGGGGTCAAAAACCTCTGCAACAATCAGGTAAAATAAAAAGTTGAGGAGGGAGTTATGCTGAACAGACAAATTGGGACTGAGGTACTCACTATTGACCTGCAAGGAAATAGAGAATCTTAGTATTTCTGTGTCAAACTGATCTGGTTGAGAAAGACTGGGTGGAGATAATAATAATTCCATCAGAAGGGGAAAAGGATGGTAGATCTGTGAGTTGTACATAGAAGCTGCAACAATGCTAGAAAGCATGACTGCACAGAGGGAAACTGCAAGACAAAGGGTTTGTGATGGATCTCAGGCAAGGGCAAGTGGCGATGCTAAAAAAAAATTGACAAGTGAGGACTATTAGGAATTCAATAAATAGTTGTTCTTTTGTCATATTCAATGCCTAATGACAAGCTCATTCTGTACCACTTCCCACCTGCTTTTACTTCTATTCAAACAGCCTCACAGCAGTTTAAATCAGCAGATCTATTTTGGAACAGCACTGAAGACAAAAAGCACATGGAAAACCAGTACTAGAGTGCAATATTTGTATCTTCAGGCAGTTTTTGCAGGTGGCAGCAGTCCTTGGCAATGAAAAGAGAAATGACACTGAAACGCAGGGCATGCAGGAACCGTAAGCAATTCAACAGGAAGGCAGGTTCTTGCAGAGAGGTGTCTGCTCAAAAATGACAGTAAGGCCCAGAGAGGTCGTGCAGACTCCGTTCTTGAAGGGTTACAAGACCAGGCAAAGACCTCAGTGACCTGGCCTACCCTTGTCGCTCATCCTGCTCTAAGGAGAAGATTGAAATAAATGACCTTCTGAGGTCTATCCCAACCCGAATTTTCCTAAGATTCTTCCCATTGAGTTCTGATTTTCACATTTCCCTTTCCCTGACTCCTCTCCAAGGCAGAAACTGATGTTACTCAAATTATGCATAATCATATCCTAATCCACCATATAATTCCCTAAGGAATTAATTTCAAAATTTAGTTTAAATTATGCATGTGGTGTGATACGTCTTGAGAAAAGACTTGGAACTATTTAGAGGACATTATAACTGCTTACAACATAAACTACAAATACACTGTATATTCCAGAAAAACCCAGGAGTTTGTTTGTTTGGGTTTTTTACCCTTTTTCCTTGTCCAAACAAAAACAGAAAGTCAGTAAAATTATGACAGATAACCAGAACATACAGAATGAGAGCATGGATACAAGGAAATGTGCTCATCAGACTAAGAACTTACAGAGGGAGCCAAAACAGAGGAATAGATGAGAAACAGGACACAATCTTCAAAATGTGAGAGAAAAAGATGAATACTAACAAAGGCATGCCTAGAACACTTAAGACAACAAAACAATCTCCACAGAAAGAATTTTAAGAGCATTGCAGAGCTACACAAAATGTATTAAAAAAAAAAAAACAACCAATTAACTTGTAGAATTGCAATATCTTTTTGAGGAACCACCAGCACTCTGCCTTCAGGAGAGATCCTTCTCCATCCACAGATTCAGCTGCTGTCTAGAAGCGCTCAAAGACAAGTGATCCATGGAAAAGGAGAGCTTGCTGTTACATCCCATTTGTCTGCCTCTTTATACCCCTTCCAACTGAATGACAGCACAAAAGAGCTTTGAAAAAATGAGCATAATATCCCTTACATTAACACTGCAAATATAATTGTTTACATTAGTGTCACTTAGAAATAACACTATTTTTCTTCAATTACGAGAATACTTTGATTAAATTCTATTACGAAAAAGTCACTTCTGAAGACTTATGGTTTGTATCAGTGAGTTTATTTTACATCTAGAACTGTCAGAAAATCCACTTTCATATTTATTTTGCCCTGCTAATAATAAAAAGTATTTGGTATTTTAGAAAAATCAACATCCTTGTGGAAGATTTGTAAAGAGAATGACCTTGTTAAAGTAACTTCTAAGTTTATTATGAAGGAAGATGGATCAGTTAAGAGATCTAACTGGGCTGACTGCTGGCTAAAGCTCCAAAGCATTTTCTCAACCAACTGGACTAAGTTTGGGTGAATGGAACGAGGAAAAAGGCACAGACAGAACATTTTATCATCAGCATCCACACACTGGTAAAATACATAAAAAATTGAAGGCAGAGTAGGTCCTCAAATTGCACTGTAATGAACAACAGGTACATTTTCTTCAGTGACACACTGCTCCAGACCAAACCAGGACCATGCATATTCCCATAAACGCCTCTGATGATCATAACTCTCTCACATAGTAGCGACTTTTAGCAGGTCGGAGCAAGCAGCTCTCCAAGAATAAACACAAGATGTAAGTCTTTAGTTTAAGAAACAGAGACAACCATAATCAACTGGAAAACTTTTATTTAAGCAACAAGGTAAAATTAAAAATGATTTTACCAAGCAGACTTTGTGTGGGAAGAGCCAAACAGCAGTGAGACAAATAGCAGAATTAAGGAGCAAAAACTGTAGGAAGTGACAGCCTTCTCCAAACTTGCTTCCACTTTGTGTAAGTAACTGCAAAACCAGCACCCAAAAAAACCCTCAGTAATGTGCCAATGTCCACTGCAAAGCCATTTTTGTTAATAAAAGTAATTTCCCAACACTCAAAGTCCACGTTAGATATGTGCATCTCTCTCACCTACCTGGTAAGCTTGCACAGAAGCACTGCTACTAGCCTCCATCAAGAAGAGAAAAATTTCACTATTAACACCTTGGAAGCAAAAGCCATAGTCTGTGGAACCATCATCATGGGCTTCTGACACTGGTGTGGTGCTGTCCTCTGAATTACTTATTTATCTTTGGTTTCATGTCTCTTACCACAAGAGCTGCAGCACATGCACTCAGCGGGGACTGTGATGTAAAAATTTAGGAAAGGATCCAGGTTATCCAAAGATGTACTGGGCCTAGAGGAGTCTACATCTTCCACTCCTTAGTCTGTCTGAGTTCCCAGGAGATCTTCACAGATAATACTGTACAGTGAACAGTGCAGCACTCTATGTCTGCTTTAGAACTCTCATGAACACAGATGCACAGAAGGTGCACAATCAAGAGTGGGCACATTCCCAATTTCAGAGGCATAAACAGTGTGGTTTACTTATCATTGTGACAGAATAAGGGTCATAAACTATCCTTGATAAATACACTGATATGAGAAAGCACAAGCTGTAGAATCCCCTTGGAATAAGTTACCTGACAGGCACCCCTGTGGAAAAGCAGCAGGTTACAGCCCATCAGCCATCCCAGGATACACAGAGCAAGTCTCCTCTGACCTCCTCCCCTCCTATGCTGTATTTGTAGTTTTCTTTGGGCGTGGGGAAAAGACAAAGTTCCAGCTGATGTAATTTCATTACATGGAAATTGAGTGATTTTAGTTCATGCACGTAAAGCATGTAGAGGTTTTACTTCATTAGCATATGCAGGTATGAAAAGTTTTATGTATTTTCAAGCCAATAAAACAAAATTCAGCTTTTGGTGACTGGTTGGGCCCTTCTTTGGCTTAGCTCCCATTGGCTACGTTGTTTTAAACAGAGCATGGCCACAACACCTCCATGCCACTCCATCCTTTGTTTCCTGCTTCCCTCAGGGCAGCACACCAGGCTTCCTCAGTGTCCCTGCTCCTGCGGCTGCAGACTTCTTGTTTCTGTTGAACTATTGCCACCATGGATTTCTCTTTGCTCAGACTTGTCTTTTAATATTTCTCCACAAGGACTGAAATAAAATGTTAGCTTATGGCACCTGTACTCTAAAGCTACAGAAAACGTATGTGAAGACTGCACCATGACCAGATGGCATTGTTGTGTGGGCAGTGACAACAGTCAAAAAGCATCTTCTGTTTGCAGTGGTGAGAGAATACGCCTCCACAAGATGTGTACTTGCAAAGTGTCTTACCTGGAGAGTTCTCTAAGAATGCACACTATTCAACAAAAACATTATCAAAAAAAAGGGAAAAGAACAAGATCTCCTCTGACCAGAAAGCACAGAACAGCCTACAACAAAATTTCACTCCACTTTATAAGAGAATAGTCTCCATCCAAAAGAATCACATTAGCAACATACTGGAAGTCTTTAAAAGCCTCTGGACACAACCTTGAGTAATGTGCTCTATAGGACTCTGCTTAAAGCAGGAAGGCTGGACTTGATGACATCCAGTGATCCCTTCCAACCTCACCCATTCCGTGATTCTGTGATAATAAACAGCAAGTCCAAATCCCTTCTTACAGTTCCTGTTACATTATTTTCCTGTTGGCTTTCAAACCACGTTGTTCACATTGTTCTCATGCTCACAACTGCATGAGAAAGAGGGGGGAAGACACAACAAAACACAAAGAGCAACCTTTTTTAGGCATCTCCTCAGTATTTATTTGTATTACTTTGCATAATCTCAAGTGCTTTCTGGATGCTGAGATTAGTTTATTCACTATGCAAATGAACAAGCTCCTTCTGCAGGTATTTCTATGACAACAATATTCCCAACAATTCCAAAAAGTTCCTACTTGGTACTCAGTAGGACTCACTAATTCTAAGGTCTTCAGCTGCGCAAGAAGGTCAAGGATCTCACAGAGGTTTTTTAACATCACTACACCTTCAGCTGCACTAGCAAGTCTGGGGTTTTCCAAACAGTGCAAGAAGTACTTGGCTTAAGCAGCAACTTCACAAGGCTTCTCAAAATGTTTATAGAAGATCCTCTGTAACCTGAACCAAAATGGTTCCAGTGGTTCATGTAGTGAAAAAGCTGATAAAGCTTCAGGCATTTCTCAAACCCTGCGTCTCTGGGGATTTTACTGTGATAAACAGAATAAAAAGAACTGCTGAAGCCACCAAACATCCCAGCTATTGCAAGATCATACTCTCAATGGCTGTAGAAAGAAGATGGACCAAATATAATCAGACCAGAATCATCCTCAGCTAGATTTCCTCCCCAGAGATCCCCATGCAGGAGAGAAGGAATGATTTCTACACCACAGAAAAAACTGAGTATCTTCAGCTGCAGTGGGGGAGAAGCAAGACATGTAAATTACTACAGTCATTCACCTTAAAATGTAGAGGTTTATCTGCATACTTTAAACTTTTAAAAAGTCAGTTAAATAAACGTGTAACTTCAGACAGCACAGGACCAAGTTAACAGAGATGCTGAGCAAATCCAGAGGATTCCTGTTTTTCATAACAGCTAGCAGCAGAACAGTCAATCAAATCTCTTTTAGGAAGACAGTAAAGAATTCAAAACTGCATTTGGTGCTGTAATATTGACCAGATTTAATAACAACAGCTACCACCATTTTGGTATTAGAAGGCTCAGGCATCTCTCAGCAACCTTGACAAAGTACCCAAAGAGCCAAAACTGCAGTCACTTAACCAGATGCAAATAGAAAATCAACAATGTGCAGAACAGTACTGCTTATGTATGTTTCCCATCATGCAAGTGTTCCAGGGAGCGAGAAATAAGATCTCCATCTGTAAGATTTCCCAAATAGTAAGGCAAAGTGCTGGCACTTTGGAATTCACTCCGGAATGTCAGCAGAGGGTGATGTGGCAAAAGCCATTACACCTTAGAAAAAAAGGCCTTTTGGTCCTTAAAAACTGGAGTCTCCTACCGACAGAACCTGGTGCACAACAACAAACAGGAACTTTGTTTTAAGAAAATAAAATCTAGATAACTGATACCCAGCTGTCACTGTAATGAGAACTGAGAGATTTGCTTGTACCTGAAGCTGTGCCCAAAGTTCCCTTGCTTCCCTGTCTCCTGAGCTCCTTTCAATCGGGTGGATCTGGGGCTGGATCCTTTCTCTGGCAAAGAAACTCACCCAGCCACTGCGCCAGTTCTTCACCTGAAGGACCAGGACTGCAGATGTCAGTTCTACACACACAAAAGGCAAATTTGCTTCTTTTTCAAATAAACCTTTTGAGGATCACACAGCCTTTGTGCTGGTACCATCCAGGACAGTAAGTGCTACCATTCAATTGAATGTTATCTTAAAATGTTAAATTGGAGGAATAAATAATTTTCTCTCAGTGATTAAAACCAAAAAAATTGAAGAAACGTCAGTATCCAATGCAGCTACAAGTGCTGTCCAAAGCACTACTTTTCTTAGCAGGATAAACCATGCTTTTTCTTATTCATGGCTCCACAAAAATTAATTTATTTACATTATGATAATTTTGACCCTTTTTTGTCACCGAAGGAAAAATGAGGCAAACTTAAAATTCTATCAGTCTGATGAAATACAACCGAGCTGTGGAAGATAACCACAGCAGGTAACTGTATGAAAGCTAAACTGATCCACAAACTGGACTTCCATTTGCCCCTGTCCTTTACCTTTCAAACCAAAGAAAAAAAATTCAACACCAATGACAAAATACTGAGCATCCACAATGCAAACAAATCTTAAAACTATGCAAGGGTACAATGCTGCTTCCATTGAGAATAAAAAAAGTTGCACTTTAATGTTCTTTTTGATACAATGGTTGCTGCTGCTGGTTTTTAAATGTAAAGCTCAGTGTAAAGCAGCCATGTTATACTCTTTATTTTTGTATTTTGTGGTACCGTATCTCTTCTGATACCATGTCCTTGTAGAGATTGTGGTTCAGGTTCCCAAATTGAATTGATCACAGAGATCCACACAGGGCAAACAAAAGCAAAAAGAAGAACACCCCCACCTGTGTGTTTCATCCCAACCTATTCTCATACTATCTTTAGTGGAAGAAGACATACCTGTCCTGAAGTGGCAAAAGCTATTTTAATTATTTTGTAAATTATTATTCATTAGGTTAATTTCGCAAACAGCTGTGTACTGTGTCAACTGGGCTCCCTTCTTTCTTCATCTTCTCTCTAAGCTGCTGGTTATGAAGGTGAAGATCAGCTAGCTGAGTTCCAAGCAGTGCTGAATGTCCAAGAAACGAAAATAATGTTAGCAACTCTGACCCATGAATGAATCCAGATCTGGATATTCCAGGAGTTACTGGAAAATGTCTATCAAGCAAGTAACAGTTCTTCACCTCTAACAAAATAGGTTCCCAAAATATTCCAGTATTATAAGCACTCTGTCTTCCTATCAAAACTGCATATTAATATAGACAAAATGTACTTACTTGGTTGTTTCTGACACCACTATTGAAAGTGAAATCATAAATTAACTAACAATGATAAACTATCAGTTCTAATTCCTGTGTGATATTACTTCTTTAAGCATTTTCACTAAGGTATGTGTAAGAAAGCATGCACATAATGTGGAAAATGTTATGCCTTTTTTATATTATTATTTCCTCTGGCAAACTGTCTTTGGAAAATAGAACCAAACAAGGCTGATCCTCTTCCTTCTATCACTGTCTCTGGCTGCTCTTCTCTAAAAGGTCTCAAAGATGGGTGTCAGGTAGGCCTAGTTTAATATCTATTTTTAATAAAAGCTGATCCTCTACAAAGTTCGGGAAAGTCTTGTAGTAATTGCAAACAACCCTTACAGCCAGTTGCCCCACATGTTAACAAAATTATGTTCCTTTTCCTTTTCTTGACCTTTCTGAACTTTCTGTATTCTAAAGGCACTGCCATTTAAAGCAAATTTAGTTCTTCATTTTATTCCTGTTAACACAGATAGTAGCTATCCCCCAGAATTTGCACCCCAAAGGTACCCTTTGAAATCCAAACCAGCGAGATCTCTGCCCTTTCTCTTGGGACTCACTGAGAGCTCTTCATGGATCAAACCCTGGCAATGAGCAGGATGAGGGACAAGACTTAAAACTGGCTACAGGAGTTCTGAAAATGAGAAAAGAAATTGGTCATGATCCCCAGTGGAATCAGATGGGATTCATCATATTAAGTGCTACTCACAGAGAAGGGTCAAAAGTTTGAAACTATCAAAATGAAGGCTAAGAGTTGCAAAAATATTGAAATCAAGATTAATTCATTTGGGAAAGTGCCTCTGCATACTCATGGCAAACATTACAGCACTGGTTCTTATATCAAAGGCAAGTACACAAAACAGGTGACCAGGTTGGTAATTTTCCCTAATGTAAAAAGGAACCTTATTGTAAAAACCACTAATTACCTAAACAGACAAGCCAAAAGTAACCAAAACCCAGAGTTACTTCTTGATGTGTTATCAGTTTGCTAGGTGAGGCATTATAAAGTATTTCATACAGTTCTCTGCTGTAAAACTTCTTGTATGTACCTTGACATGCTTTATAAAAAATTTAAACAAGTTCCTCCTATGAAAGCAAGTGATTTCATTGTCATAATAGCCAAAATTTCTGGTCAAGGGAAGCAAAAATAACTGTTTTACCTGTGTAAGCTCTTCATTTCCACATGTGCCATCACCAGCACAGTATTGTCCCCAGGCAGTTCTACAACCTTGATGGGTTTAGGCACTCTTACTGTCTGCGTTTTCAGGATGGCTTCCAAACTTGCCATTTCTCTCAGAAACATTCTCCTGGCCTGCCAGATATTAAAGAAAAGCATTAGTCTCTATAAGCATCAGTCACAGGTAAAATAAAAGAAAATATAAAATAATAAAAGTTTAGAGCAAATATTTATTGATGCACAAGATACAGACAGAATTGTACTATTGGGCTCGATAATTTTACAGTTGCAGAAATTTCAATTTGTAAAACAAAGTGAAAATCAACTTAGGTTCTAGCATTCTCTATTAACTTAGAAACTCTGTTTACAGTTGAAGGAGAGCAAACTGCATGCACACAAAATGTGTGCAATATTCTATTAATACAGCAAATGTCTAGGAAGCCATGGACAATATACACCATCAGCTAGCAGGCTAGAAGAATGGTGCTGACATTCACAGACACCATGACTGTCCAGACCAAGAAACAGAGTCAAGCTTCAAACACAGCTCTAAAAGCAACCACAGAATCACAGAACCATGCAATTGTTAAGGCTGAAAAAGCCCTCTAAGATCCCTGAGTCTAACCACTAACCCAGCACTGCCCTGGGCACTCTGTCAGTGCCTGACAACCCTGTGTATGAAAAAATTTTCTCCAACATCCAATCTAAACCTCCCTTGATACAACTTGATGTTGCTTCTCACTTATTCCCTGGGAGCAGAGCCTGATCCTGCACCCTTCTATCAGGGGGTTGTGCAGAACCACCAGGTTCCCCCTGAGCCTCCTTTTCTCCAGTCTAAGCCCCTCTCCCAGCTCCCTCAGCCGTTCCTGGCACTCCAGCCCCTTCCCCAGCTCCATTCCCTTCTCGGGACATCCTCCAGCCCCTCCATGCTTTTCGTGTCATGAGACTCCCAAAAGTGCCCCAGGATTAGAGGTATGGGCACATCAGTGCCCAGCACAGGGGACAGTCACCGCCCTGGTCCCGCTGCCACACTTGGACCGGCACAACCCAGGAATGCCCCTCCTCACCGCGGCGCCCGCCCAGCCCCGGCGCCCCCAATCCCCACGCTGCCACACCTGCCCCTCGCAGTTGCTCTTCACGAACACCCGGCCGCGGTCCGTGTCGTAGCTCCGGCCCAGGCTGGTGCAGATGCTGCCCAAGTGCCCGGTCGGCCGCAGCTCCTCGGTGCCCAGAGCTCGCTTCAGCGCGTCCTCCATGACGGCCGCTGTGAGGGGAGCCGCGGCCCGGAAAAGAAATAAAGGCGCGGGGAAAGGCGGGGCGAGAAGGGGAGGGCAAGGGGCAGCTGCGGCTGAGAAAGGGCGTTTGAGGGGGCAAAGGAGTCGGAAGGGCGTCACAGGGCGGCCTAAGTCAGCAAAAGGGTGGCAGGAGCTGCTGACAAAGCTAAAGGGGCCGGGCTGATGAGCCGGTCGCTGCTGTCAAAGGGCCCTCTCGCTCCTCATATGCCAGTTTCAGTTCAGGTGTTCAGTTTTGTTTTTGTGCTCATTGTTATGAATAAAAATATACCTATTTTTATTTAAAGTTACAGAGAAAAAAAAACGGTGGGACCAGTTGCTGTTAAATTAGCTTAATTGTAAAGAGTTCTTTAATTGCCCGTTAATGGTTGGTGATTTAGCCATTGTCCTCCCAATGCTTGCCCCGGAGCTACACCTGGACACGCAGCCCAGGAGAATAGGAGTGGCCTGGGACCACGTACGCAAATGAGAAATGCACCGCGCCAAAATTTTCCCGTTTTCCTAGAAAACCCCTAAAAACAACGAGCCAACACAGAATTAGGGGACCCTAAGTGATGTCTAAGGACGGGCGTGAAGTCCAGTGCCTGCTTGGATCCTTTTTGCTTCACACCCTGACCCCAAGAGATGTTCCATAAGGAGGGGACCCGAAGTGTTGGACTGAAAAGCAGGAATCTGCCAATCTCCCGTGAGGACGCAGTCCCCAGCTCTGCCTGCAGACCAGCGGACAGAGCTGCATCACCCTCCTCCTCCGTGCCACTCTTGGGGACAGCGGCGGCGTGGGCGCGACCCGTCGATTTCTCCCCACCTGAGCTGAATCTCTTTAATAAAGGCATTGAAAAGGAGAAAGATCTCCTGCCCTATTTATGTCAGAAACCACAGCCCCTCCCAGCTGGGGAACAGCTCCCGAACCCCCCACTGCCCAGGGACCGTCTTTGTCACCTGCACCCTCACCCTGTTGGGCGCTCTGGGTTTGCTGTTCACTGTGCAAAGCCACAGTGCAGCTGAAAGAGCAGCACACATTAAATTCACATGATTAAACAATGGGTGCATCCCACAACTCTGCTTAGGAAGCTACAAGAAGCATCCTCTAAACTGGCAGACACGCAGGTGAAAGGGTTCTTGAAGCATTTTTCTATGTAGAGTGCAATGAAAGCCTGCAGTGAACAACCACAGACACAGAGATCTGAGCCAAGTAAAGTAACTCCTTCACACCCAAACTGACACTAAACTATACTGCTAACTAAAAGCCAGAGAAAATAGAATTAAAACAGCTCTCTGTATCCTAGAAAGCAAACAGCCTTCAGCTGGTTCACTTTGGTTTTTTTTTAATAGCTAATTTCCAGAGTCTTCATAGTAACAGATTGCTTACATAATTGAATTCAAAACACCTATTTCCAAGCATATGTATAATAAAGCACTTTTTAAGAACAGGAGGTCTTTGCAAAGAGGAGTTATCAGAGTACAACAGTTGGCAGAAGCCAGTAGATTGTCCCTGAAGGAGAGGAGATTCAAGGCTCTTGTACTTTAAAGCAATTATATTCAGTTGTATTTTAGGATAAACAGAGATATCAAAGTTGGTTATTCACACTAGGAAGTGAAATCACAGAAAAGGTAATTGGTTACCCCTGATAAATTATGTAATCCAGAACACTTCAGATTTGCTGGCATGATGCCAGATAGTATTTATTTGTGTGAGATTTCCAAAAACAGGAATTTTTGTAGCTATAACAGTCTCATGCTTTGTCCTGTTTATCTGGTTGAATTTAATTAATTAGGCTTGCGCATCAGTGATATGCTCTGTGTTTATTCCCCTTGCAAATGTAACTCACTTACATGCAGACAATGTAAAATGTGCAGAGCTCAACAACTTGGCTTATTCTTTATCTTTTGGCTTTAATGATCCACTATTGCTCTTTTCCAGACAAGCTTGTCCTGCAACAATTCAAGCGTCTCTTCTGCTGCAAAGGTGACTAGCCTAGCTGCCCTCAGTACCCTCGGGGCACCAGAGAGTGTCCCCCCGCTGTCGGTCACTTTGGGGCTGCCCCCCCGCTGTTTGCCGACCCGGGGCTGGCCGGGGTTCACTGGGAGGCACCCAGAGAGACGGAGACATGTTCCAGTGCACAAACACCTTCTGGGGGAAGAAGCTTTTCCAAATATCCAACCTAAACCTCCCCTGATGCAATTTCAGGTCCCCTTGGGTCCTCTCACTGGGCACTACAGAGCTGAGATCAGTGTCTGTCCCTTCACTTCCCACTCAAAGTTGAATACAGCAATGACATCAGCAAGTCCAGCCTGTGATCACACACCACCTTGTCAACCAGACTATGTCACTGTGTGTGCCATGTTCCTTAAAGATTTCCAGGGACACTGACTTCAGCACCTCCCTGGGCAGCCCCTTCCAGTGTTTAATCACCCTTTCTGGAAAGAAATGCCTCATAATGTCCAGCCTAAACCTCTGCTGCTGCAGCTTAAGACTGTATCCTCTCATCTTGTCCCCTGTTCCCTGGGAGCAGAGTCTGACTCTCCTGTCAGGGAGTTGCAGAGAGCCAGAAAGTCCCCCTGAGCCTCCTTTTCTCCAGGCTAAACCCCCCAGCTCCCTCAGCTGCTCCTCATTGAGCTTGTGCTCCAGGCCTTCACCCATCTGTTGGGTTGGTGGGTTTCTTGGGGAGGTGGCCACGAGCTGGTGATCACAATTTCCCCTGGCACAATTACACTTTACCCAGTTGGGTGAGTTGCCCTTATTTTGTTCCTCATAATCTGGCCTTGTCTTGGCTGTTTGGCCATGTGTCCTTGATTTGAAGAAGTCAGCATTCTGTTATGTCTGGTTTTAGTTTACCTCAATTTACTTGCTTTTATCATTTTTTTGTACCTTCTGCAACTGCTGAGACATGTTAAACATAACTTACTTATCTGAAAGCCTGATGGTTCATCACATCAAGTACTTGATTTCTGCCCCGAGATTTAGTTTAGTTAGTCTGTCCCAAGGATGGAGCTTCTCTGCTATGGAGATAGGTGGCGAGAGCTGGTGGGGCTCAGTCTGGAGAAGGGAAGGCTTCAGGGAGACCTTTGAGCCTCTTTCAGAGCCTAGAGGGACTCCAAGAGAGCTGGAGAGAGACCAGACGAAGTCTGGAGTGACTGGACAAGGGGTGATGTCTTCAGGCTGGAAGAGGGCAGGTTTAAATTGCATATTGGGAAGAAAGTCTTCCCTGTGAGAGAGGTGAGGCCCTGGAATAGGGTGCTCAGAGAAGCTGTGGCTGCCTCATCCCTGGAAGTGTCCAAGGCCAAGCTGGACAGGGCTTGAAGCAATCTGCTTGTGGAAGTTGTCCCTGCCCATGGCAGGGGGATGGAATGATATGGTGTTTAACCCCCTTTCAACCCAAACTGTTCATGGATTCAATGAAAGCAAAGATCCACAGAGAGCTCTGCCTAGCACTGCCATTCCTTATGTCTCCTTTGACAGCTTTCAGGCGTTGCAAGTCTTTTCATTTTGAGGACATGTCCCACTACATCCTTCCGTGGTGTTGGTGAGGATGGAGGAGCAAGAGTGGGAAAAAGTGATGGGAGCAGTAACTGGGAATAATGATGTGTACTTGAGAAAAGAAACCATCAATAAAAGTTTTTTTTTAATTATTCATGCTTTGTGCAAATGAGATATATACCTTCTGCAAATGAAGTATAGCCTTCTGTTTATACTCATTTACTTCCCATTATATTTTCCACAGTATTGCTGAAACTGCAGAAGTTTTAGATTGTCAAAGTTTATGCTTTCAAAACATAAGGTGTTCAAAGCCTATTTTGATTTTTCAGACAAGTGATGCAGTTAAGCTATATCCCATCATTGAGCAGAACTGCATGCCAGAAAGACCAAAGCCAGGTTTCCTGTTGATCATGTGGAATGTCTTGAACTGGAGTCAGTTCTCTGCACTGGCTTGATGGTGGAGAAATAGAGCAGAGACATGCAGTTTGATCACTGCTAGATACCAGCATGAGGATTTACAGCAGCCAGGATCAAGGATTAGTGAGATCCTGTGAGGAGCTCACCTGTCTACAGTGCCCGCAGCATTGAAGTGGTGATGGAGTGGAATCCTGACGGAATAGCACTGGATTTCCAGCACCCTCTGAAGCAGCACACTTACTCAAATGGGCCAGAACAAATCCTCTCCTGTTCACCAGCACATCTTTCCTGTTTCTCTGCCTGCACATGACAGAAGCACTCCTGCACACTTTATCAGCCCCCCCAGCCGTCATGTCACCATGGACAATGTTTGTGTATCTGCGCGAGCAGACCAGGTCTACACTACACAGCAGGCAGTAACACCATCACAAGCCCTGCTTCAGTGGGCTCCCAGCATTTGCTGAACAGCAATGTCCAGTCCAGGTACACAGTCCAGAGAGATGCAGATTCACAGTGCCATTTTGCAGCACACAGGCTGTTGTGGGCACTCACTAGGCTTCAGAAACACTCAGTGCAAGTGGAGCACAACCTCCCATTAAAGCCCTGTCTGGTCCAACAATGAACTGCAGAGCTGGACCTCTGCAGCAGCACTGACTTCCAGCTGCAGGGTAGGCACAGCCTGTAACCCAGAGGTACAGGCAAGTACAGGTCAGTGCTATGAAAGAGGGGCAAAGCAAATAAGCCATGCAGGGTCTCAGTGACATAGAGACAGGGCTATGAACGGGCACACACACAGAGGCGCTGTGTCCCAAGTGACAGCTCACGTCAGACTTAGGCACGTGGCTTACATACAGGGCACAGAACTGCCAGAATGGGTCCCAGCATGGAGAACTGCCTGTCTTCTCAAAGAGAAACATTTTCTGGTTCACAGTGACACACAACAGGGTAATTTCATGCTGGAGATGAAGTCTGGTAGCCATACTACCAAAATCTTGTCAAAAGCGCCAAAAAAAAAAAAATTTGAAAACATAATGCTTCCCTTTTCACTTGGCAGCATTATGAAATGACA